AAAAAAAAAAAAAAAAAAATTGGTCAGTACCAAGACAAAATGCTTTTCTCATAATCTTACTGTCTTTGTAAGGAAACTGACACCGTTGTATTGTACCACTGTTAAAACGTTTGGGGGTGAGGTGCTGACAGAAAGTCTCTCAATTTTGGGAATTGAAAAACTAATCTAATAACATTGGTTCAAACTGTGGAACAGTATTTGCAAGTATGTAAAATATATACATTTTGTGTGCCCCTAGGAATGAACAAAATGGTAGTCAATCATCTGGAGAAACTTTTTGTTACAAATGATGCTGCAACGATCTTAAGAGAGCTGGAGGTAAGTGCTTTGTTATATATTATCTTTTATTTTGGTTGATTATATTGTCAGCTAAATATTTTAACAACTACAAGCTTTTTACTCAGTTTCCCTATTAAGGGTTCCTAGCAAGGATTCAGTTCTATTGGCTAAGCTGCCCACATAAGGTGGTAAAACAGGGCTACTGTTAACAGGTGTGCAGTCAACACATTCAAATCTAGCAAGAGAAAAAGTAGGGCTTTGCAACAAAATGACGTTATAAATGATGACTTTGGTTATTGAATAATAACATTAGTAATACCTTGTTTTCTCTTCCAAATGAGATTAGAATTTAGAGAAAGTTGTGATTTCCAATGTTTTGGGCTTGACTGTGTGGCATAATGCCATGGAAGACTATCTTGAAATGAGATAGTCAACAACAAGAAATTAATATTACAGCTATAGTCATGTGTGTGTCTAACTATTTTGAATTATGTATTTATTTGTGGGCCCAGAGACCTAAACTGAGGGGGCTTCCAGCTGTCGGAACTTGCTGTTTGCCACTGCATCTAACAGCACTGGCAGTGAGGCGTGCAGGTGTATGACAAGCAGTCCCTCAACCGCACCGTCTGCCATGCACTTGTGGCATGGCAGGAAGTGCTGTTGTGTGGATTGTGCGTTAGATCCCATAGTGCCTTTACCTGTGTGTCTTGTAGGGGCCTTAGATTTAGAAGAGCGGAAGATGTCAAAATGCTCAGCGCCACGGCATTTTCAGATGCTTTGCACTCTAAATCAAACACATTCTATAAGAAGCAAAACCTTGCTTCCTCCATCCCAATCATCTGCATTCCTTTTAGATAAACTGTGTTTTTTGTAAAGACTTCTTTGTTTCCATACAAAACGTTAAGATTATGTATTTTTAAAGTTTACTAATTGGGAATGTTAATTCAGTGGCAATGTCTAACCTCTTTGAACAGGTCCAGCATCCTGCTGCCAGAATGATTGTAATGGCTTCCCATATGCAAGAGCAAGAAGTTGGAGATGGAACAAATTTTGTCCTTGTTTTTGCTGGGGCTCTTCTTGAGCTAGCTGAAGACCTTCTGAGAATGGGATTATCAGTTTCTGAGGCAAGTAGTTGATTTTTGATATTTGCATTCGTACGGGACAGGTAATATGTTAGATTAGTGATTTGGGGCTGTATTACTTGGTTGCATCCATAATACACTTGAATATTTTCTTTCTTGCCAGATTAACTTCAGTAACCCTATAGCTAATGAAGAGTAGTGAGTGAATTATCTTAGTTTTACTTTGTCTGTAGACAAGATGTTTGTTATAAAGTCAGTTGACTAATAAAAATGGAGTGGCCAGTACCCCATAATGTTACATGAAAGAGAGCCATTCTCATCTGGAGCAGAGTTGTCCCTCAAATGGAGGAATGACTGTATGCTGACTGTGTGCCTGCTTCTTAGTCATTTTCATCCCTGGGCTGGCACTTTGCTCAGTGCAGAGTGGCTCTCTCCCTACCTATTTACGTAGTGTTGTAATAGCTTCTGTGGTAGGCAGTCACCTCAGGACAGCTGGTTTTGTGCTGCTCTTTAATTGGGAGTAAGTTTACTACAAGATAATATTTAGAGTGAATTAGGAGCAATAATATTGAGGCTGCGCCCTTAGTATTCACTGCCCTTTTTGAGCGATTAAAATTTCTCTCTCAAATTCCATATTACAGTATGCATACACTTTGATATTTTAAGACCCTCCACAAGGAAGCACGCTGAATGTAAATATATGCTATGGGGAGGCCACAGTGTCATAGTTAACTTTTTTGCCTGCATCGCAGGTGATAGAAGGCTATGAAAAGGCCTGCAAGAAAGCCCTAGAAATTCTTCCTGATCTAGTATGCTGTTCTGCAAAAAATCTTCGAGATGTTGAAGAAGTATCATCTTTGCTGCACACCTCAGTAATGAGCAAGCAATATGGCAATGAAGTCTTCCTGGCCAATCTTATTGCTCAGGCATGTGGTAAGTGTGAACAAGTTGGCTGTTTGTACATGTCTATATTGTGTATAGTCTTGTTTTTATTTTTATTTTTTTGGTAAAGTGCTCACATGGCAATTGAATTGAAAGGTATAGTTATCTAATTAGTGTAATTCAGTATTAATAGTTATGAAGACTTAGATTATGAAAGTGGTATTTTTTTCTTGAGCACCTTTTCATGTTGCTTGTTCTTATACACTAGTTTTGGTACAGATAACTTTCTTGCAAGTCATAGCTCAAGGTGAAAATCTGTTTTCGTCTTTTTTTTCTTAGAAGGAAGATTACTGTTGCAGCTACTGGTTTGTAGTTGGAAGACATAATAACTTTAAGTATAATGTGAGAGATGTTATGAGGAGCAGACAGCTCCATTTTCTTAGAACTTGAGAATAACATTTCATCACTGGTGTAATTGTTTCTTCAAAATACAAGAGCCAGATTTGGGCCTTCTATTAAAGTGGATGCTAGGGCTGAACAGAGTCCACTGATTTTCTTATTGTGCTAAATATTATTATTACTTCAGAGTAAAGAGAGTTCAGCTTTCTACTTATTTGTAGCAAGCATGGGAAGTAATATTCCTGCTAATAATATGAAGTATAATTTGGAAGTTCATATTTATTTCAAGAGCATTTGAACAAGCATTTAAATATATTATTTTTATATGAATAGGGCATACAACTTTTGATGCTGTGTTTCCATGTTATATTGATATTATGTAACAATTTTTTTTTCATTTTTCAAACAGTGTCTATTCTTCCTGATTCTGGTCATTTCAATGTTGACAGTATCAGAGTGTGTAAAGTTTTGGTAAGCTCGGAATTTTCTGCCTTGTGAATTGTTATACAGTTTTAATGTAATGTAGCAAGGGGCATACCAGACTTAAAGTAGTTAATTTTTAGGTGATATCAGACTTCTGATATCCCCTGTTTCAGTCTAGATCTTCAGACTTTACTTATTTTGACATTTTTAAAATAAGACTTCAGAAATATCCAGTTGAATTACTTACCTAGCACTCTTAATTTCAGAGTACCTACTGCTATGTCAGATGCACAAACCCTTCTTGGTTTTTTTTGGATTTTAAATCAGATAAAGCACTTGAACTCATAACTCAGATGAAATGCTTAGTCATCAGACCTTCAGTAAAGAGGTACCCAACTTCAGGCTGAGATGGAAGATGATGAAGAAAGCTAAGGGGAGGATCCTGTTGTTTGTCCTTACTCTTAGTAGGATATTAAGCTTGAATAAAGCTTACAGGAGTGGGCAAGTTCATGTTTATTAGTTTACTAGCCAGTTGCCCATCAATAATGATGGGGAGAGGGGACTGGGATGGAGTGCTGCCTCCTAACGCCCCTTGCTGCTGCTGTTCTTCCTTTTGCCAGGGAGTGGGGTGTGGAAGCTGGTCCTTGGTATGGCTTTGGAGTCGTGGCAGCGCACCCCCATGTGTGGAGTGCTCTGATTGGCTGTTTCTGTCAGCCAATCAGAGTGTGAATAAATTGTTACAGACAGGCAGGCAGACAGACTTAGGCTTTTATAATATTAGAATTTTTTGCTAAACCTTTCCTTGGCTGCATTTCTTTTCTTTAAAAAAAAATGGAGAGAGAGGTTACTTCAGGTTTATAATTTTTACAGCTATAGAACACTCACATCTATGAGTTCTACAGGAGTGTGTCCTGTATTCCTCAGTCACTTAAGTTTTTTCTCCATTCCTTGGAGTACATGCACATGCCACACTGTTCAAACATGCATTTTTTAAAAACAGAATAAGAGCTAATGATGTAGTTCTTCAGTGGAATATAGCCAGCAGTGTGATCTTTTTTTTTTTTTTTTTTTATTCTCTCCTATTTTTTCTTTTTAGGGCTCTGGTATCTCTGCCTCTTCAGTACTTCATGGCATGGTTTTTAAAAAGGAAACCGAGGGAGATGTGACTTCTGTCAAAGATGCTAAAATAGCTGTTTATTCCTGTCCTTTTGATGGCACAATAACTGAAACCAAGGTATGTTGGTGTCCTAAATATGTTGTGTAGCAATTTATGCACACGCATTCAGTACTCAGTGTGTGGTTTTTATTGTAACAGTGTTAAGATCTTAACATGGTTTGGGAATTGCTGAGCTAAAATGTCTTTACATAAGGACTGCTGACATGGCAACATACAACAAAGATCTCAGTATAGAAACCTTATTTGAATGCATGTAGAATTGAAGGCTGAGAATATTTTTGTGTTCCCTGTGCATAATTTAGTTGTGCTTTCATGAATCTCTAACCTTTGATACTAACCTAATTGTAAGAACCTGTAGCATGCCATGATGGTAGATGATTTAAAATTATCTTTAAAGTTAAAGGCGCTGGGTTGAAGCTGCATTGTGATGGCTTAATTTTTCTTCTGTTGAAAAATTCTGTAATGAGGTTAGCGACTGCTGTAGTTGCCTTGATGACATGTAGGCTATGCTAAGAGGTTTTATTTTGTCTTTCCCTTTTTTCTGGTGTAAATCAGTTTGGACCATTTCTTCTCATTGGCCTGTTTCCATCCGTTTATGGATGACACTAATTATTTTTGTTCAAACACATTAGCATATATTACCTTCCCCAATATCTGGCTTATAGTTTAACAGCAGGAGTGGTGACTGCAAACTTATTTTGTATTTGAGTATTATGGTTATGACTTTCTTCTTTCACAAAGCTCTTAAGCTATGCCAGGCCTGACATCTTAACTATTCTGAGGAATATATTTTGGTAATATTCTGGACAGGTGATTGGAAGATTTTGGCACTGCTGTACATGACTGCTTATTTTTGAGGACAGATATTACATCTTTTCCCTATAGAGCATGCTGAGCTTAACTAAACAGGCATTTTAAATAGTTGTTTGTACATAGAATATTACACAGGATACAAACTACCTAATGGAAACTATTTTTGACCGTACTGATGTTCTTTGTTAACACGAACACTCTGAATTGTGGGCTAGATGTCCAGGTAATCTTTACGGAGGGCTTTCAGTGTGAGACCTTGCCTCTGTTGATGGTCCAGAGCCCAACTTTGTTGACCAGAAATCAATGTTAAACTCCTCCATTGTTCTCGCTCATGACTGAGACAGTGATTAAACGTGTTGTTATGAGTGGCAAGGGTTTGTTACTACTTGTCAAAATTTGTCTCTTAAGACCTCGCATATTAGTTCACATGATTTGTAAATTTAAAAATATTCCCGTTTTCATAGGGCACTGTGCTGATAAAGAATGCTGAAGAACTGATGAGTTTCAGCAGAGGAGAAGAAAATCTAATGGAGCTGCAGGTTAAGACCATTGCTGATGCTGGTGCAAATGTAATAGTAACAGGTGGCAAAGTGGCAGATATGGCACTTCATTATGCCAACAAATACCATCTGATGTTAGTCAGGTAAGGATTATAATGACCTGATGGTTGAAAATCAGGCCTATTAAAAATTCATCAGATATTTTTTCTGTATCTGAATGTCCTCAAGTATATGTATGTATTTGCCTTCTAGCATAGAGTGAAGTTGAGTACTTATTTTAGGTCAGTGGAATTTATGGTATCTTGCTAAACATAACTGTGGCTCTTTGATAGTGTACCACATCTTGTGTGATGTATAGCTTTGTTGTAATTATCTATATACCAGGGGCGGGCAATTATTTTGGATGGAGGGCTGCTTGAGTTTTGGTGAGCTGTTGGGGGCTGCAAGGGTAGCCATGCCCCTTGAGAGGTGCTCCGCCCCCTGATTGCCAACTTGGGACCAGAAGTCCCACCCTTAACCCCTAACCTTTGCCACTGGAAATCCCTTCCCTTGCCCTCTGGAAATACTCCTTTTGGGAGGGGAGAGTTGCCATCCTGGAACCAGAAAAAAATCAAATTATACACTAAAAGTCAAACAGCTACTATAATATATTTTAATTTTATTACAGAAAATATTTTTGTCATGTTTTGTGTTTGCGTAGTGTATATAGAGAAGATTGCATAATAACTCAAAAAGTCTTTTGTATGTTGTGTGTGGGGTGTAGTTGGAGGTGTGGCTCTGTATGTGGAGGGGCAGTAGGGTATGTTGGAGGTATGTGTGTATACAAGTGGGGCTGTGGGAGCAGGGTGTGGGTGTCAGGTTTGCGGGGAGGTTTGGGGACTCCACCCACACACTCTTCCCCCATGGGGCAAAGCCCACTGGCCACAGCAGCAGCAGGTGGGGCATTTGGGGTGCTCATGCCCAGTGCAGGCACTGCTGCCAGCGGCATCGTGGGGGTGAGGAGTGCAGTCAGGCTGGCCTGCCTTTATTGCACGGGGCTCCCAGTGATGCACGTGCAACTCCTGCACTTGCATGCTACTGGGGGAAGCCCTGCACGATGGAGCCGGCTGCCTTCCCTGCTTCCTGCTGTGCGGGTCTCAGGACTCTGCTGGAAGTAGAGGGGAGCCCCGGCCCCTGCTTCCCTGTGGAGTCACAGGACCTGCACAGCAGGGAGTGAAGGCAGCAGGACTTCACCCGGTGGTACATGAGTGTGGGAGCTGCGCATGCGCTGCAGGGACCCCTGTGTGATAAAAGGCGGGCCGGTCCCCTCGCCCCCACATTCAGCGCTGTCTGGAGCCACACGCTGCCAGTGGCATTGCCTGCACCAGGTGCAAGCACCCCTGCCTGTTCTTGCTTCTGCAGCTGGTGGTAGGGACTGTGTGCCATAGGTGGGGGAAGTGTGTCTGGGGGTCCCACACCCTGCCCACCCGAGTTCTGTGCTCCCACTGTCCCCCAGGTGTGGGCTCCATGCTGCTGCCAGCCCTAGCCTCATGCTCCTGCCCAGCTGCAGCTCCCCCGACACTTCTCTGCCTGGTGCCTGGAGCAAGTGGGACACCAGGGAAGCCAAGCAGGTCCCCTGGTGGCTGCAGCAGTGGCAGCAGCAGCAGTCCCGTCCAGAAACTGCGCTGGCTGGGCCGGGCCCTTCTGTGCACAGGATGGGAGTGAGGTGGAATAGGGTATGTTGGGTGGGGGCTGTATGTGTGGGTGCCTCGCTCCCACCCTCATGGGTGGAAGGTCTGGGTTGGGTGCTATTAGTTGGTGGGTACCCACGGGCTGTATTTTTGCCCGCCCCGGTATATACTGTCAAGCTCTTCATTTGCAAGTAACTTTGCATTTCAAGAACTGAGAACTCTTCCTCTTTACTAAATCTACCAATAAATACCGAGTAAGCAGGTTGGAGTAACACAACCTGCTTTTTGTAGTGTGCAGAAGTGTGTATTCCAACTACCAGTAGTTTATAAATGGAAGCACTGAAATCTGGCCATTTAGTCACATATATAAGTAATATATATATTACTTATATATATTACTTAAACACACACCACACATGCACCACACACAGTCTGTTCAGTTTAGGCAGTCTGTGCCTAAAATATATATAATATATAAACTGCATCTACGTATAAAATGCATTTTCTTTATAAAGTGAATTAACCTGCACACTAGAAAGTGACTAAATGGCCAGATTTCAGTGCTTTCATTTATAAACTACTGGTAGTTGGAATGCACACTTCTGCACACTACAAAAAGCAGCTTGTGTTACTCCAACCTGCTTACTCAGTATTTATTGGTAGATTTAGTAAAGAGGAAGAGTTCTCAGTTCTTGAATTGCAAAATATATAAAAATAAAATCTTGGCTGTGTGTAGAAAAGGTAGTTCTGTTGATACAAATTTGAATTGACAGTTAAATGGTTAGAGCTACATTTTCAGAAAACTGGCATTGGATTCCCAGGCAAAGCTTGATCTAATACAAAAACCTGATGGGAATGGTAGTCTTTGACAGGTGACTAAACCTGTTTCCCTTTTGGTACAGTTCAGAGATGGGCATTGTTCTCCTAACGGATGGTGTAAGGTTTAATAATGCACAATGATATTTAATTACGTGAAGATTAATATCCTAAGTAACAAATGCGTAGAGGATTAAAAAATGTGTTTTAGTTGCATTAAAACTGATAACATTATATATGTCAGCATGAAACAATTGCAGAAGTGTGCTAGTGATGACCTCATCATGTTGTAAGTTGATGCCCTCATCATGTTGTAATAGCCATCACTAAACTAGTTTGATAGCATCATGACATACTATCAGATTACGTAGAAAAGGTTTTTCTTTATACATATAGTTTTGGGAACTGCATCACTAAAAGGAATCCTTTTTTTTTTTTAAGGTTGAACTCAAAATGGGATCTCAGGAGACTCTGTAAAACTGTTGGTGCAGCTGCTCTTCCTAGACTGGTAAGCAGTTTACAAACAAGTTGGGGGGTGGGGTGGGGAGAGACCTTTCGTCAATAGAATCTTCTGATTTCTGTTTTTTCTTTCCAGATTCCACCTACGCCAGAAGAAATGGGTCATTGTGATAGTGTTTACTTGTCAGAGGTTGGGGATACACAAGTTGTTGTGTTTAAGCATGGTATGTTTCTTTTCAAGGGTGATGTAGTGGTACTGTCATTAATAGATGGTTATAAATGTTTTCTGTTCTAATATATTCTCCAAAGAATTATGTCTACATGTCTTTACAGAAAAGGAAGATGGCTCCATAGCTACTATACTTATCCGTGGATCTACAGACAATTTAATGGATGATGTAGAGAGAGCAGTAGATGATGGTGTTAATACTTTCAAAGTACTCACTAGGGTGAGTAAACTTCCTCCTCCCTAAGTTTTTAGATAAAGATGTTTGGGTTAAGACTATAGCCTGCTGATCTTAATTGTGATGCTTGGATGATATAAAGGATCTCGAAGCCATTTTGCAACCTCTGCATGTGGCCATTTCCTCTGCTTCCTCTACAGCCATTATGTAGGGAATGAGTTATGGCTAGTGCGCTGAGTGGTCTCTCTTCTATTAGCCAAGATACAGTTCCTTGTAGACAGATAAAGCTGGTGTGACTAGACAACACCATGCCCAGTGAATCAGTGGGTTGACTTGACCATTTCACCAGGCTTGTGTCATAGCTATTGAAAACTGGTTGCAGCCAACAATCTGGACATTGGTTTGCATTACCTTTGGTGATGATGGTTTGAGTTGTATAAGCAGGCTTAGAAAGCATACAGGAAGCAAGTTGAGTTTGTGTATTAGAACAGCTCAGTTTTCTAATAAAACTGTACATTTCAGTGATACAATTAAGAGATTGACTTGAAAGTAGCAGAAATAGTTGAAGACCTTTGTGTGCAGGTTTGATAAATAGTATAGGAAAAGCTTTTGGAAATGCTTTTCTTGGTCAGATGTTTTTTAATCTTGCTAATGCTTGAGTAAAGTCTATGAGTTCTTTGTCAGCTAAGAATAACAAAATTGTTCAACTGTTTGGGAGAACAGTTATGGGATAGATAGATCAGCTGGAGAGAAATTACCAATCTACAGTGTTTTTCTTATATTTCCAAAGCAAGTTGTGTTGTTGAGTTTTATAAAAACAGATTTATTCTTGGTGCTTCTATTTTGTTGTTTTGTTTGTCCCCCCCCCCAAAAATATTTGAAACTGGATATATTTTTACCTTTGGTGATTTTAACCAGTAAAACCTACCTCTACACAAATGCAGGAATAAAAATCAGCTTTAATATTCTCCTCATATTAAGATTACAGAAATTGGTTCTAGAAGTTAAAGATGTAATAGTTTCTATGGAGTAAAGATGCATTGAAACACTTAATGATGTATTTTCTGGGGTTTGGTTCACAGGACAAGCGTCTTGTCCCTGGAGGTGGTGCAACAGAAATTGAGTTGGCCAAGCAGATCACGTCCTATGGAGAGGTACATCTTATCATTCTGTGTTGTTGTTGTTGCTGCTTATTATAAATGTTTTACTATTTTACGTACTAAACCGTTTTCAAAATTCACTTTAGACCTGTCCTGGGCTAGATCAGTATGCTATCAAGAAATTTGCTGAGGCCTTTGAAGCCATTCCCCGAGCACTGGCAGAAAATTCTGGAGTAAAGGCTAATGAAGTTATCTCCAACCTGTATGCAGTGCATCAAGAAGGCAACAAAAATGTTGGATTTGATATTGAGGTTAGTAGTCCCATACTCTTTGTCAATCCCTTGCAGTTGAGGATGTTTGTTTGCCATGAATGTGTTATCTGTGGGTCTGAAAATGGCTGATGAGGCCAGTCTGGGATTGACAGACTCTCAGTGACTGAGTGTTGCAGGATGGAGTTGAGAACACTCTTGTCAACAACAGAATCTCAAGAGGGTCTTCAAAATGCTCCTTGATGGCTTCCCTTTCCTTGATCAGGCCTCCTCCATCCTTGGATGTCAAGAGGGTTAGTCTGAGTGCTTGGACCGTAGATGGGTTTGAAAAAAATGTACATATCCTGGATGTTAGTGAGTGGTGTGAATGTCTTTCACTGTGTCTTCCCACCATCTGTTCTTCATATTGCAGGTTCTCTTTTGGATCTGTGCCATGGCTCGTTGGAGATTCAGTTTCTTTTGCTTGGAATTGATGTGGCTTGCTGTTGATCAGCTCTTGGATCTCTTGGTCATTCTTATCAAACCAGTCTTGATGTTTCCTGGTAGAGAAACCAAGTGTCTCTTCGCAGGCGCTGATGATGGTGGACTGAGGCACCCCAAGCGCTGCTGACATTCTGCCATTATTGTTGATTGGAATTCTCTAGGTTTTTTTTTTTTTTTTTTTTTTTTTGTTTTTTTTTTTGAGGCACTGGTGAAAGAGGTCTTGCTTGAATGGGTCCTTGTGTCCTTCAGCATTGATCTTCCATTGGCATTGCTTCTGTTTCTGCTGCAGCTGTCATTTGGGAGCTGGTTTGAGTGACATGACTGAGTGGATGAGTCAGTGATCAGTCCAGCAATCATTAGCTCCCAGCATAGCTCAAGTGATGCAGACATCTTTGCGATCCCAGGTGGCACAAGCAATGGCATAGTCAATCAGGTACCAGTGCTTAGATTGTGGGTGTTGCCATGATGTCCTGCGCGTTTTTCTGGCAGAACAGGGTGTTGGTGAATCCATGTTACGTGCATTTGGCCTAGAGAAGGATGTTGTTGGAGTTGACCTTTACTCTTTCCTTGCTGACGGTTTCGTGCCAGAGGTTTGAGTTCCTTCCAACTCTGAAGTTAAAATTGCTGAGAAGAATAAGTTTGTCTCCATCTGGAACATAAGAAAGGACTTGGTCAAGGCTGGCATAGAATTCCTCCTTGGTTTCATTGGTGGCATCAAGAGTCAGGGCATACATGCTGATGACAGCGGCGTATCAGTTCCCTTTCATTCAGTTTAAGATGGAGTCATGAGTCATAAATTCTGATAGGGAACTCACTGAGCTGATTTATGAGTTCATTCTAGATGGCAAAACCAACTTGGGGAAGCTGGCATTCTCTTTCCTGTTTGGCATTCCAGAAGGGGGTGTAGCCACTGCCTTGTTCTTCGAGCTGCCCGTTTCTTGCTCACCAGGTCTCGCTCAGTGCAGCAATGTTGGTGCTTGAGTTTTTGAGCCATGATTGTGGTGTGTAGTGCTTTGGGTGTTCACTATTACAGTTGTACCTGAAAGTCCTGATGTTTCAGGTCCCAAAATTGAATGCGTGTCTTGGTTGATTTTGACCTCAGTAAAGGTGATCCCACTGGATGTGGTTCTCCAGCCAGGAGGAAGATAGACAGGCTGTGTTTAGGACACCTTTTCTAGCTCCCTTCCCGTGTGGGGTAAGCAGAGAGAATCCTGAAGAGGGCTGTGCAGTCAGTTGCGGTTGCCAAATTGTACCTCTGCCTCATCCAAGTGTGAGATGACCTTGTAACTGCCACCTTCATGCCAGGTCATAACTGGGAGCTTTCCAGACCACTCAATCCTGTTCCTGTGGTCACTAGCTGGTTGCCAAAAGGGTTGAAAAATGTGCTCATTTTTATGGAAGATGCCCGAGTGTGATTTCTTTTACTGAGGAGAAGCTGCCGTGTGGAAGCTGATGTATAAGGTGCTGCTGTAGTGGTTGGTGGTGTGCTAACAGTGTCCAATTCATTAAACACCTAATGGATAAGAATTGCATTAGCACATAAATAAGGAACAGCTTATAGGAAAGTTGTAGTTCTTCAACAGCAGATAAACCAGCATTAAAAACAGGGTGGGCATAGTTTTGTGTAGGTGAAATGAGGCTATGCTTTACTCTGGGGGAGGTGCCTCTGGTAATTCCATTTATTTATTTAAGTTGGTTGGAAATCTTATTTGTTAGAAGGACATAAAATCAAGGAAGCAGCACTATTCCCTTAACATCCATTAGACAACTGGTGTTCAGGAAAATGCGGGAAGATCTACTTTGAAGTGAGGGGGGAAAGAGGTGAGAACTTTGAAGAGATTTTATTTTTTTAATTATTTTTTTTCTGGTGACAGGCTGAGGTTGCAGCTGTGAAGGATATGTTGGAAGCTGGTGTGTTAGACACATACCTTGGAAAACACTGGGCCATCAAGCTGGCTACAAATGCTGCAATAACTGTGCTCAGAGTAGATCAGGTAGGTTGAAAATCTGCCCTTAGGAGCAATAATATTGAAATGGTTGTCTTACCGTGTAGAATGCCTATGAGACCTTCTTGTAAGGTATGCAAGGCATTAAAAACAAAATGGTAACCTGAAGATGCATTATTTGTATTCAGGTCCTGAAACAGTGGAGCATGTAACTGCACTCCGTGAGATGATCTTGTTTGATTTAATCTCTGGCCTATGGTTTCTTGCTCTTTTCACTTGTGACAATGAAGTTTTCTGTTCTGCTAAGAGTTAAAGAAGATGCATATCTTATCTCAATAGAAGATGGCTTCCATTTTTCATTAATGAAAGTACTTCCTATGGTTTAAAATGGAAGGAGAACTCAATATGGTTCTTGGTAATTAAAATGACATGGTATTTTAAGCAATATTATAAATAATATATTTGCTTATAAAACTTGTGTAGATTATTATGGCAAAACCAGCAGGTGGTCCAAAAGCCCCCAAACAAGGCCATTGGGATAAGGATGACTGGAAAGATGAAACTGCAGAATAGTGTACAGTAAGGTACAGTGCAACTTGCTGTTAGAGAGGTTTTTTGCATGAATGCATTTGCAGTCACAAAGGTAATCTCTCACTTGCTTTCAAGAGCACTTGTATGGGCAGTGTCACTGTCTAACCATCTGTTGGTGGTCTTCCACAAGTTGTACCTTAATATGAATTACTTGAATTTTACTGTGGGGTAAGTAGAACAAGTAGACCAAAGTTCTAGCTTTTTACTGTATTACAGCAAACAGTTATTTAAAATTAACCTGTAGCAGGAAAAAAACTTGCAGCCTGTGTCATGCTGTGAAATTCTGATTCCTGGAGATAGCGATTTAAGTATAAACAGTTCCTGGTTTTAAAATGTGTTTAAACGCTTCTCAAAATATCTTGCATGTATCCTACTCGCTAATTTGTATTCTGCAAACTACTTAAACAGTATTTTTTTTCTAGTGGCAAGGCTGTAAGTTGCATGCAAACCTGAGATTTTAACAGGTTCTTTTGTATCACCTGCTGACCATGCCATTGCCAGTTATTAAAGATGTAACCAAGGAAGTTTTTAAGTTTTTGAATTGTTGGCTAACGTACAAATAATAAGACACATTCATGAGTTTGTAAGGGTGTGAAAATATTAAACCTGCATGAGTTTAGTGAATGAGGATTTAAATGCATGATGCAGGCCACAAAAATCCCAAATAGTTATGTAATGTATTATTTTACTTATTTTAAAGATCATCATGGCAAAACCGGCTGGTGGACCCAAACCTCCATCGGGAAAGAAAGATTGGGATGAAGACCAAAATGATTGAACAGTTTAATTGTACTTCCTAAATAAAATAGGGTTGTGTGTGTTTTGTAGTACTCCAGTTGGGGCATGTTCTGATGTCTTATTCCTCACATTAAGTTATGAGACTGTCTAGTAAAAAGTGCAGAATCTCTACCACTTCAATAAATGCACTTGCAATATAAAATTTGTTAGACCATTTGTTCCATTAAATAATCTTTTAGCCTTATTTTCTCTTTATATTGCAAGAGAAACTGATTTTGCTTTCTAAGTGTTAATCTGACTTGAGTTATTTAAAGCACTTCTTTATGTTCTGGTAGTGTGGTAGGGATTTTGTAGCTGTGTTGATGGTCCAGGAATTGAGCAAGAGGCAAGGCTTTTTTTTGAGTGGTATCTTTCATTGGACCAGCTGCATGGCTGGGATAAAGTTAGACATGTTTTCAAATGCAAGGCATTCTCATTAGGACTTTGCATTCAGATGCTTGTCTAACTTTATCCCAAGTGTGCAATTGGTTCAGTAAAAGATACTACTCAAAAAAAGCCTTGCCTCTTGAATAACTAACATAACTCCTATGTTCCTAATGTTAAAAAAACAAACTGGCATCTGTGATTTTAATCTTGAATTCGGGGGGAGGAATCAGTAAAGTGCTGGACATTAGGGCTGTGCAAAGCTTCAGTAGGTGATTCAATTCGGAGATTTAGCCCGATTCAGCAGCCGAATCCAAATTGAATCGGGAGACCCGTTAAAAGGTCGGAATCAAATCAGAAGCCTCCAAATCTATTTGGAGAGATTCAGCTGTAGACTATATACAGGTAGCAGTCCTTGATGATGCTGGACACAGCTGCCTCCAGCTGGTAAGTCTGTTGTGGTGGGGAGAGGGAAGGGGCATTGAGGTGTGGGGGCTGGCAGATCAACACCCCCCACAGCAAGAGAGGGGCTGGGACAGTGGCTAGGACAAGCTGCCCAGTGGGGGTAGGAAGGCACGGGACTCAGAGGGGGACTCCTGCCACTGCGCTGCTGGTCTGGGAATTCTAAATATACAGCAGAGCTGCCCAGCTATTCATAGCGGTAGCTTTTCACTTGAGATGTGTTTTGTAGAGCCATTAGCTTCTATCTTAAAAATATCTATGGTAGTTAAATCTTTTAAAAGATGTGGCTAAGATTTACCAAGAGAAGTGTGAGGAACAGAGCAAGCAAACGATCTAAAAGAAGGAAGAAACATGCACAGCTGTTAATGCAAGTCCTAGCTAAATAAGGACTGAGATGTAAAAAAAAAAACAAAAAAAAAAGTTTTGAATACGAAGCATTCCTTTCTCTCATTATCAAGGACTATTTAAAGATTAGGAGGCCTAAAATAGTTGACCTCCATCTCAAAAAACCCCAAAAAACTGGTGCTATTTCATGTGGATTAGAATTTAAAGTTGTATTTAAATCCTATAGTGTTTAACTCGTACACATTTCATTTTATGTTGAATTAAATGCAGAACATCTTATTTGTGAAAGTAGGGCATGGACAGATGACACTGTTAATGTTATAGTAGTAGTTAGGTGGATTTGATTTAAATCACTAGTCCTCAATTTAAGTTGTTTTCTGCAAAAAGTGCATTCTTCTTGTTTGTTTATTCTTTATTCATTTAACTTCTTTGAAAGTACAGTTTTAAGAAAAGTAAGAGCTTGACGCTATACAAACTTCCAGAGACACAGGAGGGTTTGAGTGGGGTAATCAGATTTATCTCATCGCCATATACTGCTGTTAACATGTAAATCCAGAGTTTGAGAACGGAAACTAAGCATCACAGAAATACTTAATGGGATCTTCTAGACAGAGCACTTCTGAGACTCAGCAATGGTAAACAGGTTCTACCATTGGGTAGAGTGGTTTTCTTTAATTTTTAGTAATCTACAGAAGAGTCTCTGGGAACCCTGTAAAATTGGGCCCCTAATATAGTCCATAGCCTGTTGTGACCTATTTATAAAACTTTTCTAGAAAGGTTACATGAAAATATTGTCTCAAATAGTATATGATTAGAAGTTATGATCTCTATTCCATTATATCTTTGAGCTTTAACATGTCTTAAACTAAAGCTATCCTTATATAGATTTATTCTTTTTAAAAAGCATCTTTAAAGAAAATCAAGATAAAACCGATTTTTAGATTTTTTTTATTTAATTTCAATCTATTTTTATCCACCCTGGTGGTAGTATAGATGAGGTTCTCTCAACCAGTGGGGACGCTCCCCCGCTCTTCAACTGGTGGGACCAGGACTCTTTTTTACCTGGGATGTACAGTGCAAAAGGTTGAGAACTGCTGGTATAGACTACATAGTAGTATAAACAGTACTATAATGTTATTATATTAGTGTGGTAGTATATGCATTATAGTAGAACTATACCGATACAATTTTAAATGTGAACAAAACAGGTTTAAGTTACAGTGGCTTAGCTTGCTTCTTTCTTACGTAGGAAAAGATTTAAGTTTTAGCTGTTAAATAGCTGATGCATACAGCCAGTCCCTCCCTCCCCTTTTAAATACTGCTTAAAATTATGTCTGTCCCCAGCCCTAAACTTAGAGGTACTGATGGGAGAAACTAAGTGAGCAGTGACTTCTAGAGATTTTGAGGGTAACAGGACCCATGATACAAACTTTTGAAACTGGGATCAAACACCACTGGCATATTAAACCAAGAAACTGGGAGGAGTTCAAAAGCATACATTTGTTCACTGCCAGCAGAGTAGCCATTACTGAAAATGAACGATTCCAAATCTGAAGCTGTAACTTAGGAACATAAAGTGGTTTTATTTAAAAACCAGTGCAGCTATTGGAGAAGTATCGTTCAGTCATGTCAGCAGTTAGTGCTTGTAGGTAATGTTGGGATTTCTGAAATTGTTTACAGTAGCTTCAAGTCTAATAGACTACGACTGAGAGCAGTTCTCTTCAATGTATCACTTTATTTTAAATCAGTTTAAAATCCATGAAGTGTTCTGTCAGGTGGCTTTTCTCATATTTGTTAAAGCAGCCGCTCATAAAACAAGAGATACGCTTGTGAACTCAGCACTTTAGATGTAGACACGGCTTGCACATGGGGGTCGCTGATATGAAACCACTGTCCTTTTGCAGATTCAGTTTCTGAAGCTGTGGAACAGAGTTTTAAGAGTGAGACATGCATTATATTACAAGCTATTACCACCCTACAGGAATCTATTTAAAGCTAGACTACTTATGCCTACCTTGGGGAACTTCTCCATGAAGGACAAGATCAGAAAGATGGTTGTTCAGAGCTCTCATCTTGGCATAGGCAGTGTAGTGGCCAGATCGCATAGTGCCACTATGTTCAACAACCCCATAGAGAGAGTACAGTACTCTTGAATTTCCTTCAGCCACGTTCTGCAGAAGTGAAAATTTTGCTTATGTTACGAGCAAGGTAGAAATAGAAGGATGCCAACTTAGCTAGCGTCTCTTCCAATCTCATTGTGTAAAATCAGAACAGCTTTCAGAGGATGTTTGTGTTGCTAATCTTCACTGACCAACTTACTATGCCTAAGAATCAATATGCTTGAAAAAAGTTTTAGCACAAGCTCACTTGTGCCTACTTGCAGCCAAACCTACTTAGCCACAGGTTGTCTCAGAGGCTGAGATAGGGTAGGAAGGCAGTTTTGAGTAACAGAGGATTTAGTTTTGACACCAAGCCAGTCTCTGAAAAAGACCAGTTATATTGGCCCAACTAACTGAACAAAGTCACTTGAGGGAAGAAGGAAAGGAGACTCCCAAAGATTTTTTAAACTTACCTTGCATTTAACTGTACAGAAAGGAGCCAAGTCTATTACTTCTGGAAACTTTATATGCCTGTTAACTTTTCGTAAATTAAATCCAGCCTAAAAGTAGGATTAAACAAAAACAAAAATCATGACTTTAAATCCTGACACACAGAAACTATGGCCAGAGCAAGGGTTTTTTTGTGGGGAATTTTTTTGTTTTTGGTTTGTTTGTTTGTTGTTTGTTTTGTTTTGTTTGTTTTTATATTTTAAACTTATGTCTAAACTGTGTCAGCATTTTAAAGGCCCCTCCTCCCTCTCCAACCCCACCTTCACGTGAGCTTAAAAAAAATGTGCATATTCTTCCAATGGCTATGTTTCCATAACTATTTTCCCCAATTGTTCCTTATACTTGGATCTGCACCGCATGGATGCAGAACTTCTCAGCAATTATTAAAATTAAAGAAGGGAAAAGGTTCTAGTCCAAATGAAAGGGTTTTATGTGATGGACTGGAAGTGGTAAAAGGCCCAATAATATCCCATAGCTCAGTGCATCCTCAAGTTGAAACTTTAAGTTCTTAAAGTTAAAAATAATCATGTTCCCATTAGATCAGTGGATGCCAACCCTTTTGGCAGGTGTGCCACAAGTGAGCCCCACACCCTCCCTGAGTACCCTCTGATCCCCTTTTGCTGCTTTGCTTTCTGCTCCTTACCCTACCTGCTAGGTTGTGTGAATTAGATCATATGCACACAGTTCCTTGTTCTTTTCTAGATTTCTCCTTCTTTACCTAGGTACCCTTCTACTCTACTAATTGTTTGACCAGAGCATATGCTTTGTGTAACTAAACTTTTACAGCAGTGCTTTTCAGTTGACTGCCTTCTCTTCCTTTCTAGCTTACCACTGTTTCTATAGTTTTCAGTGTTGGGTTCTTTGCTACCAGCTCCAGTATAATGGACTCAGGGGTGATGTGTAGGAGGTGCATAGGGGTGCACATGCACCCCGAGTGCACCAGTGCACCCCATCAGGCTGTGCTCCCTGTTTAGCTGTTGGGCAGGGGTCAGGTGCCAGCATGGCCACTTTTACAGTGCATGAGTGGCTGTGGGAGATACCCTTCCCCCCGCCACAATGGAGAGAGGCATGATGGACTTGAATGTCAGCAAAGAGACAAAAGAGAACTATTCTACCAAGTAATAGCAGTAAATCATGAATAAGTACAGCAGGGGTATTTCCTATGTATTTTTTCTAACAGTGGAAAGGAATGTTCTAGTTCAAGAAACAATATCAGAAAAGAAAGAGCCATATATACTGTAACATTCTTTAAGAACCCAGATTCACTTTAGAAATACTAAATCCTGAGTTAAGAATACCTGTTGAAATCTCTTTAAGTGAAGTGTTAAAATTGGAGGCGCAAGAGAGATCAGCATTTGCTTTT